TCAAACAAGTAAAATCAATAATCTGGTATCTTTCCCTAATGCTGACACTGTGAACTAAAAAAGGGAAACTTTGAGAGAGACGGACGGAGTTTGGCATCTTGAACCCCAGAACTGCCCTGATGAAGGAAGTGTTGCAGCAGCAGAAGGCTCACAGCGCTGATAGATGAGGGCAGCCGTCCGTGAGGTCACACAGGACTTGGGTGCTGGCAGGAAGAGTACTGACTCAGAGCGGCAGATCTCGGGCCTCAGGGTGACTTCCTCATGCGCATAGCGGTCCTCAGCTTCTTGTCTTGCAGCTCTGTAGCTCCTTTCTCTTCGTCTCACGATCTTTCTGATCCTTGGAGATGTAGATGAGCTGGTCTCATGGAAGGAACACACCAGTTCTTCCTCTTTGCCTTTGTTCTTTGCCTTTGTCTTTATCTTCATCTTTGCCTTGGTCTTTGTCTTTATCTTTGTCTTTGGGGTCCCAAACCCAGCTGATGAGAGAAATGCAATTTGATGCCACATGTTGCGGGGCTAAGGGGTTGGTCCCCATGTGCAGAACAGTCTTCGGCTCTGTGGCCCCGGCTCTTCTTCAGCTGCAGAGTTCTTTGTCCATCTCAATCTTGACCTGAAGCTGCCTGGAGGATCCAATCAACGGTTCCTCTTTTGCACTCACCTTTTATAGGGTTTATCCATCACATCCGTTGGGTCTAGATGTTACTTGTGTGATTAACTTTAAAGGTAACTTTATTTATTGTTACTATTAAACTAATATCTCCACCATGGTGAAGTGGAATGATCTCAGGTTTTCTAGACAGTATACAAAGATGATTCTCAGTGCTAAGACCCTCTTTCTGGCTCTAATTGGAGGTTTCTGAAGCTTGTAGAGGGAAACCCAAAAGGTTTTTGACCCAAATCATGCTGACCAGATGGATGTAAACTTTTGAATTCAAAGAAAGTTACAAAAAAAAGATTTCTAAAACTAACATTTAGTTAATTGTTATAATGTTGGTCATTTTAACTAAGCTAACACAAGAACAATTTGGTTTGAATTAACATCAGAAAATTTTTTTCTTCAGTATATTTAAATATCTGGTCTCAACTGTAGATAATGCATATTTTACCCATTCTTTGCAGAAAAGCTTCACCCTTGTGCGTGCGAGGACTGAGGCAAACGTACAGGACTATGGAAAATGATACAAGTTTTACATGTGTGGGGTCGGTTGGACCCCATTTCAACATACAAGGGTTAAAATCAGTCAGATTGGATGAAGGGTGTCTGAACAACAACTTTCAAGTCTTGCCTAAGATTTTCAGTTAGATTCCATCGTAGCATGGTTTTGTATTTTTAGTATTTAGTTTTAGTATATATTTTAGTCTTGATGGAAGGTGAACCTCTGTCCTCATCTCAATTCTTTTGCAGCTCAAAATACTCCACATAACCACACTTTCAAATTTTAATTTGCAAAACAATTTCGCTCTAATTTATTTCAGTTTTTCGCATGAAATGCCCAAAAACTCATTGACTACTTCTGCAAGATACTGAGAAGATTAATGAAGTTCTGATAGGGATTCACTGTTTTAGCAACTCCCGTCTGCAGAGTTCTCATCTGTTTTGGGAGTTCCTCCTGCCTCTCATCGGTTTTTCAGAAAAAAACAACCCATCGCTTGCCCGAGCTTGTTCTGGAATCAACTTGAATGAAACTGGAAAAAAAAAAAAAAAAAAGAGGAAGAATGTCGAGTCTTCCTCTCTTTAATCTCCATCTGTGGAGCAAATGAGCCAAATTACTAACAGCTTTCCTTCCTCTCTCTCTCTGTCTTTAGTAAAGCAGTTTTCTGATATCTTTCCTTTTTTTCTCATTGGAATGAGGTGAATTCCATAAACCCAACGGTTTTCGCTTCAATCCATTGAAGTTCTTAAAAGCTTAGAACTTTCCCTGCTGCTTTGTCATCATGAGGATGCCTCAATTTAGGAGCTTTACAAGCCAGAGGGGGAGTTCTTCCTTTTATCTATGCATTTTGTTCCTGGATCAGACCACATGCATGGCTTCTGGGGATTCCTGCTAGCCACATGACCGGTGTCTCAGATAAAAGAAGAAAAAAAAAAAAACCTCAAAGTGATTAATGAGCCCTCTGCCTTTTCTAATCTTTTTTTTTTTTTTTTTTTTTTGGAGTTTAATCACAAATCTGATAGTGACTCGGCAGCAAAATCAAAGAGATGAAATGAGTTTTGCTTTTCATCTGGCACCTTGTCCTTGAAGAGCACATGACATCTTGATTTATGTAAATCGAAGCGATATACAGGCTGAAAAAAAAGGAACCAAAGACATCGCCCGCAGAGGGACAACCACAACCCATGGTTAATCCATTAACAATACAAAACAAAAAGGATGAGCACTTTGCTGCTGAAGCACAAGGACAAACTGGACCAAACTAGTAAGATAGAGGGCATTGTCTTATTAGTAGTAGTGCAAAACTCCTCTGAACGTTTTCATACATCTTAGTGTTATAAATATAAACTGGAATGTCTTCTTGGGTTCTTTATGACAGGCCAAAATAACACATTTCCTTCAATATTTTTGATAGATTATTTGTAAAGTTTGGAGTGCATTTATATTCTACCTACTTCACATCAAAGTAAAAGAGCTGTCTAGTCATCCTAGTGCCAAACTTTGTAGTGGAAAAAGAGTTTTGTCAAAATTGGTGTGTTTTCCATTAAGCGGATTTGTTTTGAAATGTCAAATTGCGTAATTCTATGGCTTCCAAAGGTAGGAATAGCTTTGTGATGTATTTACAGCCATGTTTGTGTCACCATTAACATAATGCTTTTTCTCTTTGTCCTCTTTCTTTCCTTTCTCCTGCCTTTAGTGACGTTCCAAAGAGTCGACGGCGGTCTGATGAGCAATGGAAGGTGAGTACTGCCACCAAAATAAAAGCATTGAATCCTTTGGCTCACACAATCTTTCCTCCAGAGTCACGCATGAACTCTGCGGCAACCGCTCCCAATTCTAACGCTGATAAATGACTGATGGCTTCCAAAGATTACCAATACCCGTTCTAATGCCTACCGCACAGTCCTGCCCACCCCCACCCCGTCCAAATATACATCTACCACATCTCCATTTATGCATTGATAGATATACTCATAAATCTCCTCAGTAGAATTAACAGAAACAATTTAAGCAGAGAGAGGCTTTTATTTTGTCATTTATCTTCCGCCTGCTCGCTACGGGTAACCCCAAAGCCCTCTTGAGTGATAAATTTCCCTGTCACCTTGCGTGGGCGGCTGGGATCTGAGCACATGTAATAATGTAAAAATAATTACCCAGGGGAGAGGTGTGTGTGTGAATGTGTGTGTGTGGACATCTCCATGCAACCCTGCTCCGTTTCAGTGCGTGTTAGTGGAATGGGACGAACTGCAGTGAGCAGGGCAGTCTCGGTGGCACCAGTCGTCCTCTGTGGGGATTCATGAGAGTCCCTGGAGGATCCCAGGTTTCTGCTTATCACATCTGGTCCGGGACAAACCAGCACATCTCCAATCCTCACTGAAAGATCGTGACTAAACGTGACCCTGCTTGTCTTTCTTCTTCTGGGAGGGTCTTCATCTCATAAGCTGGCATCAGCAATTTTTTTTTTTAATATCTCCTGCATCAATGCAGTAAAAGGGCGATTTCCACCCAATCGTTCTGCGAGATGCCACCAATCCCTTAATGAATTAGCCACACCACTTGCTTGTCATGCCGCTTCTCATCTACTTTCTGCTCTTATGTTTTTCTTTCAATTTTCCACATAAGCGGTTCCAATTCTCACTCCGTGTCTGTAATATTTTTTTTCTTTTGGGGGTGGAATGGATGCTTTGGAAATCTTTTGTCAGCAGCTCTGAATGCCACAATTTTCTCGAGATGCACCAATCAATCGGCCAGAAATTCTGAGTTGCACAATTTTCCCTTGATTGGCTGTGATCAGTGATCAGCAGGCCAAATGCTGCAAAATCAACTTCTCCCGCTTTTTATTAAATCATAAAATATCCCGCCATGTTCCGTCTGTAAATGGAAATTTCAGTTATAAGACCTATAATAGTGTTTTGTTTTGTTTTGTTTTTTTAATATGAAAATGATGACTGACTGAAGACATGTTGTCATGGCTGCTTTTCCCTCAATAGTGGCACTGCTAAGGTTTTAAGGTAGCCCAGGTTGGGTATTATGTCGCAAACAGTGCCATACTACTACTGCTTTAAAGAACATTTACAATTTGGAAAGGACAGAAGAAAAAAAAGATGACAATGAAAACAAAACACTTATACAAGCAAAAGTCTCAAAGTGTGTTAAAAGCCAAGAGTTTTAAGAAAAGTTTACACTAAAGGGCTGTTTTAATATGAAACAGAAATAATAATTTGCCATTTCAATCATTTTGGTGCATCGGCACTAACAGTTCTCTCTCTTCTGAGCTTCAGTGGCGATTAAAGCAGGTGTTGGTATTTTTGGTGTTGTGAGCAGGTTCCACCTCCTCCTGGAAAAGTAAATAAGCATCTCCATAGCATTCCAAGTAGAGAAAAAAAAAAGGTGCTGTAAAATTTTCTGTTAGACATCTTTGGACTTGATAAGATGCAGAGTACCAACACCAGCAGGTGACACGGCCCCTCAGATCACCACAGGCTGTGGAAACGCCACACTGAACCTCAAACAACCTCTCCCACCTTGATTTTCAAAGAAAATGCAAAATATACTTTTATCTGCAAGGAGGACTTTTGACCATCTGTCATGTTGTGGTGTACATTAACAGAAGTAATGCAGCGGTTGGAGCCCATGGACTTGATACATTTGTGTGTGTTGGCTCTCGAAGCACCGGCTCCAGCTGCAGTCCACATGTTCTTGACTAAACTCTGCATCACAATTGTCTCAAGACTACAATTGCCGTAATTTCCAGATTATAAGCTGCTAATTTTTTCAACACATTTTGAACACTGCGATGCGGGTAATATGTGGCTTTTCATCAGCTGAATTGCTGCATGATGAGGAGGACAGACAGGCTAAAGGGTGAGAAGAAAGTTTCATTAAAACAACAACAAAGGAGAGACTAAGGAAGGGTGTGTGTGGTCAGGGATGATACTGTTGGAGGACACGCACAAAACCATCATGGGTCCTAAATGAATGCAACCACATACCTAAAAAACATCATTCTCACAACTTCCCCCTTTGTTCTCTGCTTAGCCCCACACCGGAGCCTGCTGTGAATGCTAAGGATTGTTAGCTTGACCACCAGTGATAGTGGATAAACAGTTTTCCTGAAAACATTTCAGGAAAACTCCACTAGTAGCACATTGAACAGTGTGTACACAAGTGTGATTGACAGCACTAAGACCCTCCTCCTGGCTCTGATTGGTTGCTTCTGACCAGGACTGGAATATTTCTAGAGATGGCAGTAAGAGCACTGAGAGGAGGAAGAAGAGATAGATTTTTTTCCATGGGTTATCTGTCTCATTGTTTTACTGTCACAGCTTCATGATAGCACATTTGCAGGAAACATACTGTTTATAAAAGTTACATACTGCAGCTTTAAGGGACATCTGTTTAATTTCTCTTCTTTTTGGCAAATGTTTCAGCGGTTTAAAAGTCCATTAGCTTGACCACTTAGTCACATTTAGCTTACGGAAAAAGCACCAGTCAGCAAATAAACAAAAGTAAACTACCCCATTACATTTTATTTATTTATTTATTTTGGATGTACATGCACCCACTCCCAAAGACACACTGATGTACAACACAGGATGTTGTGACACAAGACAATTTTTATTAATATTATTTTTCCCCACTTTCTGTTAGTAATATAAGCTAAAAAAAAAAAGTCAAATAATTGTGATAAAACATTTTCTTAAAAACTCAAGGCACACAATATGGACACCTGTGGCATTTGACAAGTAAGGAATATATATTTATTTTTTTCTCTTCAAAGTTAGTGTTGTGGATTATATTCCGCTGCTCTCAATAGTCTAGAAATGATCTCTGCTGCTGGTGCACATTTTTTGACACACTTTTGTGAACAGCTTCTTTAGCGATGACCTTTTGTGGATTTTCTTGCATTAAATATGTTTTTTTTACTGCTATTATGGAACATTATGTAATAGTCCTATTTTTAAGATATTCTTTTTTTTACTGAGATGCGTCTGTTCTTTATTGCATTAAAGAGGATCATTTTGTAATCTCAAATTTTTCATTTGGTTTCAAAACTACTACTGTAATCCTCCGCACAGAACCTGCTCTTTTCTTGTATGCCTTATATTTTGTCGAAGAAAAATACTTTGATCAATCTTCCTATGAATTGATAGTCACCATCACCAGCCTGGGTGATGCATCTCAGACCTCGCCATCGAGCCTCCGGTCTACCTCTGTTAACCACTCTGATGCCATCACATCCCAGATGTTACAACTCTCCCATCTGTCCTGAAAGTGAATCTGTGAAGCTGATGATATCGGGCAAAAATAATAATAAGAATAATAATAATAATAATAATTTGTTGCATGAAATGTTTATAGCATTAATTAGACAACACCAAATGAAGCCACATCTGTTTCCATTTTCTCCCTGCCTCGAGCCAAATTGCCCTGACTGAACAATTATACTTAATCAATCACAAAATAAATGATTCATGGAAGATGAATAGGCTGCAGATTGTAGAGACCTGAACAATTTGGCTTTGGCTGCTCAGTTAAAATTGATAAAAAGCTGATAAGGGTTCTTTAACCCACCCCCACCACCACCACCACCACCACCTCCCCCTGTCAATAAGGAGATAGTAATTAGGAGCTAGTAATAACTTCTTATCTCCACACTGATCAATGTTTTACCAGAGCAGATTCACTCCTTTTGGAAGAGCAAAGCGTGCTGAAGGAACAGGTTTGAATAAATCCGTTGCCATAGAGATTCTTATCCATCCCAGGAGCCGAATCCTAAATGAGATCATCTTCTCGGAGGGTTAATCCACAAAGTAATTTGTGTTTCCCATTGTGTTTAGATCACATCTGTACTTTAAATTCAAGTTTAATCAACTGGTCTGTCGAACCATAAACAACAGATTTATACAGTCGGCTTGGAATGAATCTGCTTCGCTCGGCGTATTTATCGGGAGCCCGGCGTCGGCCGAGTTCGCCACTATTTATGGATTCACTCTCGCTCGTCGCAAGTTACTGAAATGTTTGTGAAGGAGGAAGGATTGTTGCTCCAAGTCGAATTTCATCTCCCAAGGTTGCCATCCGTCCTCGGGTTGGACAGGGATTAAAAGTGAAACGTCAACATTTCATCAGCCGGATGTTCCCAAAACCTATCCAATCCCCCCACACACACACACATAGACATACTCCTTTAACAAATACCCTCGGTAGAGATCAGTCTTATTGTAATTATGCTTTGCCAAAAACCGTTGTGTGACAAATGCAAGGACAATACAGCAATTTCCACCGTCTGCTCCTTCCTTTCCAAGTGTACTTAGAAGAAAGAACAATGCCTTTATACTCACCTTTTCTTCTTCTTCTTCTGCTTCTTCTTCTTCTTCTTCTTCTTCTTCTTATTCTTATTCTTATTCTTATTCTTCATCTTTTGCAGCGTGAAAGATTTTTAAATATGCAAAAGACAGAATGGGGATGTGTAGCTGTGTAGTGGAACAATAAAAGGAAAATGGGGTTAGGAAAATATGGTATGGTAAGAAAGAATGATGGCAGCGGTGGAACATGGCAGCCAGAAACAGAGGTGGAAGTACAGGGAGATGTATTACCCTATAAATGTGCATGTGTCTGATGCACAACCATCAATTTGAATGACTTGTCTCCCCCGAGGGCCTGCTTTGGCATTCAGGAGCCACGGCGAGGGCTCTTAGCCTGTTGCCAGGACTGTAGTTCATTTGAACTCCTCCCTTTTGCTGAACAGCTTTTCTCATTAGAACCAGTAGCTGAGACGGAGAGCGAGTGCAGCACACCCATTACCTGGCCTTGTCCTCAGGGTTTGACTCTCTCCAAGTCTCTGGGAGCCAACCCATCACCCTGCTGGAGCTCAGACAATGAGCCCTGCCGTCAGACTGCCAGCTCTGACGCTAACTGTGTCGTAAAGTTTCGCTGGTCGCGCATTCCATAATGGGCTTCAAATAAAGCTACAAGTACAGAAGGAAGATGTTTATATTTCAAATATTTTCTGGACTTTTTTTTTTTTTTTACAACTTTAGCCCATTAATATGTTTTGATCCAAGACTCTTCATTGTATCTTTGTCCTGCTGGAAGGTGAACTTCTCTACAAGTCTCAGATCTCCTGCATTCCCGAAAAGTACATTTTATTTTAAGATATACACAACGTTTAACTCCGTCAACCTTCTCTGACAGATTTCACCGTTATTTTAATAATAGAGTAATCTATTAATTATTCTGATGACTAATCAAGTAATCAAATTAAAGTGCTGTGGTGGCGCAGGGGTAAAGCACATCCCATGTATTGAGGCCTTAGTCCTCATGCTGGTGGTCGCAGGTTCGATTCCTGGCCTGGCTACATGTTTTCCCCCTCTTTCCTGTCAAACTACTTTCAAATAAAGGCCACTAGAGCCAACAAAACCTTTAAAAAAATAATCGAATTAAAAGTTCTACAGTTCTGTAGCATCTTCTTAAGCTAGTAAAAACAATTTTTAATAAAGTACTGTGGGCTGCCAGAAAAAGTCATTGACCGCTGTCTCCGTCATCCTCCTTCACAGTAAGACCTCTAAAGTCATCTTCTTCTCCTGTGTCAGAATTGAACAGCCTCAGAATTAGTTCATTGCAGACTTCCTCAGTGCCACCCGTGGTCTGTGTGACAAAAGTCACAGTTTATTGTCTAGAAATTAAGGCACTGCTTCGGATTGAAGAAAGTTCAACTTTAGGTTGTCTCTAACCAGAGCACCATCTTTGATGTTACTGAAATATCTCAAAAAAGAATATTGACTTCCTTTCAACAATGCTTCGTTGTCTTTGTTCCATAAAGTTCACAATTTCCATAAAGTCCATAGATTCTACCACTTGAGCTGTGGATCTCTGAACATTGATCTCTTGACTTCTTCTCTGTTTAATGTTCTCTTTGCCCATCTTTCCAAGAAAACTTCTCTAGCAAACCTCTAGGGCCTTTACTAAACTAACGTTTGTATGCTGACGTTAATCTAGACACAAGTGAGATCCATTTGATAAACAAATGACTTTTGAAGGCAATTATTGATAAGAGAGTAAAGAGGGTTACACATAACATGTGTTTAAGTTCAAAATGTTGAAAACCTTGCTTTTTCACTTGACAAGTGTTCACTACTTTTAAATCCTATTAAAACACACTGTAGGTTGGGGTTTCACACATTTTGTTAGCATTTCACCGACTTACTCAACATGTCCAAATAAACAATCGACAAAGACATTTAGGTGTCTCCTCTAGTATACCTTGACCTGCCAATGGTAACAATCCTCAGAAGTTATTGTCCAGAACAGCATCCCTAATGGCCTCCCAGCAGTCACCCGCGACAAGGTAAAGTCTTGACGGTCCATTTTACAGTCCGACACGGCATCTGTTAAAGGGAACGGCCCACTCCTACGTTCTGGTTCCCACCACAACGCCACGATGCCTCCAGGCCTTCAGTCCCCTTCAAACTCTGTGGACATCTCCACTCTGGATTAATGAGAAGGCACAGCAGGTTGGGTTAGGTTTATGATATACATCACTGCCATTATCTGCTGCTGCACATGTGTGTAAAAGGCAAAAGTGGGCATTAATGTATGTATCCACAATGTGTTTTTGCATAAATAGCTGGATGAATGTGACAAAGGCATAGCGGGAGAGAAAAGGAAGTAATCGGCTCTGCTCACCTAGAAGGATCCCAACTTTCTGAAACCAGAAATGTATAAGAGTGCTGTTTCCCCTAGAAGGGTTTGGTTCAGAGACTTATCTCACAGAAACATGTATTATTTGGCAAAAAGTAACGATTAAACTAGTGCTGTCGATTTATTAATAAATTTTATCAGATTAATCACACTCTGCTGTTATAATTAATCATGATTATTCACTATGCTGAACTTTGCAAGCTCAAACATAAATATGCATGTTTTCATAAAATGTTTTTTTTTTTAAATAGTGTTTTATTGTGCCAAATGAAACAAGTTTGAAGATTCTGTTTTTCAGGTTTTCATATTCAGATATTAGAGCGTAAAGTAAGAGTAACATTTCTGTCCAAAAATCTGACATTTTCTAGAAAGAACATGGGAACAAGATTGAAAACAAGTTTGTAAAGTCAAATATTTCCTAGAAAAAACTCAGACATTTTGAGATTAATCTCATCTTAAGTTTCTTCTCAAAAGTTTCTGAGCTTAATCTCAAACTTTTTTTTTTTTCTAGCAAATTTATGACTTGTCAAACTCAGAAAATTCTAACTTTTTTTCTATATAATTTCTAAGATTAAACTCAAGATTTTTCAGTTTTGTAATAGCACATTTTTGACTTTTCAAACTCAAAAATGTCCTTTTTGTCTAGGAAATTTCAGAGGTTTTATTGGAAATGTACTCCCCTTTTTTCATATACCATGGCCCTGATATATCGTCATATAGTCAGGATGTTTTATTTCAACCAATTTAGAAACATCGGTGGCAGGATAACTCATTGTTGCAAAATACATACTACCTGGTTTTTTTAACAGTGCAATTTGCCTCTGAGCACACTAGTGTGATGCTCCTTGCTTTAAACTTTTTCGATTATTGCTGGCTTCAAATTACCATATGTTTAATGTCCTTTATTTTATTTTTTTCCAAATCCAAATCATAAATCTTATGAAAACATATTATGAATGTTGTATTTCAACCTTTTGTTTTCTTCCAGCCGTCCAGGCCTGTTGAACGCCAGTGACCCGGGCTACCCCTGGTTAGCCGACTCCTGGCCAGCGACCAGCCTGCCCGTCAACAGCAGCTCCGGAGGACCAAACGACTTGACTAAATTTGGTCGAGGAGGTAAGTGTGTCAACGCTGCAAATACTTCAAATCTAAAACCGCAAGAGATGAAAGTCAGCCTCCGTGCCTTCCTTTGTGTTCAAACGGAGCCCCTGTTGTTTACCATGAACATGTACGCATATGAAATGTACACGTTGCCGCATAATTCATACGTATCCGGACATATTTATATTTCACAGTAGACAGCGGCTCGAGCATTAACAGCAGGGGGACTCCGCTGTCACCAGACTGAGTGATGGCAGCTAGTCCAGCTTGGTGTCATTGGCCATACTTCAGAGTAGGGGAATGTGAAGAGGAGAGGCAGGCGGGGGGATGGATGTTTGAAAGGATGGTCTTGAGCAGCGAGTCGTGAAGGACAGACACAGCTTGACTGGCGCAGATGTGGACACTTCCGCCATGGCTTTACATCATCTCCCCTTCACTGGGCATGCAAACCGCGTGGTTTCTGTTTCCCTTACTCTCTCTTCATTTGGTGCAGCAGGCGCACGCATGCTAAACATGGCCGTTACTCCTCATGTGTGGGAATGGAAAAGGGAGGGTATGGAGATATCCAGCGGATACGAGGGGGCAAAACACAGCTCTTCATCCTAAGAGTGAAGAGGAGGAAGACGTTAAACCAGCTTTGTTTTATTCATCTGAGCCTTCAAGTGCATTTCCTCTGTCTTTCTGTAATGTTGGGTGTGTTTTTGTTATTTGGTCTTGAATTTGACTTATTTGGGTGTTTTACACCAGATGTCAAAGAATTTTGAAATAACTTGCAGTTTAGCTAGCTAACTATTAGCATGTGCCTTTCAATTCCACTTGATTCCTATCTCCCTTCAGTGCTCTGTCTGGGATTTCTCCAACTGACCTTGATTCCTCTGGTAGAATTTCAACCAGGCCAATCAGCAGGCAGAAGAACAAGTTGTGATTGATGGTGTCAGTGTTTTTTGCGGTAGCAGTAATGTAGTCTTCGTGTAGTTTTAGCATCTGCAGCGTGGGAAGTGAACAAAGCTGTTCAGTCTGTGTTGGCCACGCCTTCAAATACTGAGAAACATCAAGAGCCATCTTGTTCAGATCGCCACTTCTGTCTTTGCAGTAGTGCATGGTTGTTTACAGTGCAGGCAATTTCCAGTAAGCTTCATAGTATCAAATTGTGTGCGTTATAGCCAAACATTAGTGATTGGGTAACATTTAAAACTTTAACAGAGTCCTCTCCAAAATCTAAATATTTCAAAGCAGGTAATGCTTTAGTTTTAACTTTTGAGACTTATTACTGGTAAGTATAGATATCAACCAATGTTTTCCTTCCATAATGTCCTTTCATAAGAAAATTAGGCATGAAATTTAGCACAGTTTCAGCTACAACTTTTTTTGTTAGTTATAGCTAAAAAGCTGTTGAAATAACAGATATTCCACCTGATAAAACAAGAACAAGAGAAAAATCATTTGATTTTTCAAAATATCTTCTGTACTTCATCTTACTTTTAAATAATCTTCAAGGCAGCATTTCTAGTCAACATATGGCTTAACCCTGAATTAGCTCTCTCTTCTTCTCTTTACCAGATCTCCCCACTGGACAGGGAGATAAAACAGGCACCATGCTGTCTGACGGAGCCATCTACAGCAGCATAGACTTTACCACCAAGGCTAACTACAACAGTCCTGGTCAGACATCCCAAGCCAATCCTTATGCCACCACTCAGATCCTCCACTCCAGCAGCATCCATGAGCTGGCTGTGGACCTGCCTGACGCCCAGTGGAAGGCCTCACTTCAGACTAAGCAAGAAATGGCAAACCTGGGCTACTCCCTGCCTGACAAGAACTCCTGCAACAACAGTGAGTCAAAGAACCCTCTCACACCTGGTTACATCAGCTCTGTTCTTGTGTTTAGCATTTCAGATGTTATTTCTTCTAAGACTTTAATATAGACACATTGTAATGTGACATCATGTGCACAAGATCCCACCAACCAGCTCCCTGCTGGAGGGCAAAAAAAAACTTTTCGCTGATGATGACTACCGATAGCTTTAGCTGTCAGGTTGTCAACGTTATGCACAAAATCTTAATAGTATGTATGATATATGAAAGAAAAAGGGATGCAGTGCTTTGCTACCAATTGTCAGCACAATGAGAACTAGATAACAAGGTCAGGAAAAGGGATTTAATTAAGATACAAAAAAATAGCAAGAGAGAGGGAAGTTGGTGGAGGGAAGTGGGTCAGTTTTGTTAGCTTGACTTTGACAAACAATGACAAACATGTAGATGTGTTGTGAAATTTCGTGTGCATCGGTTCTGAAAAAAAAAAAAAAACACCAACTCTGACAGATCATCAGTAGAACGGGTATTTAAATTAGCTAATCAATCACCTCTATATTCAGATATCACTTATTAATAATCACAAAATGAACATCAAGCCTGAAAACATGTTACTGTAACAGACTGAATGATTTGTCCTTTGTGTGGGATGTTTCTAGAGCCGAATCCTGACACATTAGAGGAGCTGTAGTCAGTCAGTTGCTATGGCAACAGGTCTGTGTTTGGCAAAGTCAACACAGAGAGTGAGAAAAAGGAAGAATGCTAGTGGTTTTGAGTTGTTTTTCTGAGTGATTTTCCCCTTTGCTGTAGCTCACAGCACTAGATTAATACTATCGGCATCTCCAGGTTTCATTTCGTTAACAGAATTTTTCTACCGCAGTAGTGCAGCTATAGATGGCAAGTAAAAGGATCGTCTTTTTGCCCTCCAGCGTTGTGTGCATGAGCGAAATTTCCTTATGTAAACAATAACATGCATCGTGTCTATATCAGGCCTTCAAAGTTCTCTCTTTTGTTTCGTTGTAAAAGCACAACCTATTGGTGCTTAAACTTAAACTCCACCAAAAGTCTGAAAATCCCTTCTAACCTCGCTGTGGTGGAAAGTGGATGTCTTTAAAAGTTTATTTGTAGTTATTTTCTAGCAGTCATCATGTTGGTTTCTGTGGTTGAGGTCAGATAAACCCCCATGAAAGAGCTGCACAGCTGAGCCATCCATTAATTTCCTGCAAAGTTTTCATAGCGAGCCTACTCCTCCCTTAGCTTTAGCATAATTGCCAATCTGTTTTATATTTCCTAATATTGAAGAAAATCATCTAAGATCATTATCATAAATTTGAGAAGGGATTTTTTTAATTATACGTCAATGGCTCTATTTTAATACATATTTATAATCTAATTTTCTAGCACTCTAAAACCAATTCATTTTATTTTATTTTTTTTCCTACTTTGTCCCCTCTTTTAATGAATCTTGTGATAAAATGTGATTATATCTTTCTGAACTGGGACAAGTATTGAAACATAATCTCCACTGCTGACTCTCTGATCCCATTCCAAGAGTGGAGAATAGTCAGGGGAGAAGATTAGAGCCACATTTTTCAAATTATTTATGCATATATATCAAAAAAGAAAGTCTGACTTTCCCAGTGAATGTGCTGTCTGTTGCTCTTAAGAAACTGAACTGTGAAATCCACGCACTGATGCTGTTTCCTGAATTGATCCTGCTTGCTTTTGTTGCTCTAACTGCATGTTGTTGCATGTGCTTGTGCTAACTGCCAGTCTCCTGATGCCACTGTGATTTTTGCCCTCTAACCTCCACTGTAGCCCTCCTTTTCATTCCCGACTACCGATTGGCCGACGGATTGTCTAATAGAATCCCACACAACCAATCACAAGATTTCAGCACCACCAGCTCTCACAACAGCTCAGAGCGAAGCGGCAGTCTCTCAGGTTGGTTTACGCAGCAGCAAGTGAAAGCAGTCTGGGACGATTTGCTCCTCACCCCATCTTTATGATTGATCCATGTCTTAATTGCTTTATTGATCTGTTATTTGCATGTGCAGACAGCATTTTCATAAACACATTCCCTCGTCCCCTCGAAGGCACTTTGCTCAGTCAGTTGCCTCCAGTGTTTCCACTCCTTTGTACCTTTTTGGAATAATTGATATTTTATTTCTAGAGGAATAAGGCTTTTGTGCAAATAGAAGTGCATTTTAATGAAAAGCTAAGTTATCTTAGTGATTCCATTCAAAAAATAAAACATAATTTTGAAAATATAAAGCTGTTTTGATTAGCAAAACATCCAGTTAATAAAAACTCAGACTCCACCAGTTTGTGTTTTTTTAATTTACAGTAAATTTTCTAATTTACTGAGTTGGTGTCACTGTGCCTGACTGGCCAGTAAACTGGCCTAACCAAAACCTCATAGAGGTATGGCTTTGAGACAGGGTTTATGTTTATGTCAGGGGTTGAGGCTTGGAGGAAAAATGAGAAACTCCACACCAACTGAAACACATAAGCTGGACGCCAACATTAAAGCAGCCTGGGTGTTTGTATTGGGTCTCTGCAGGTTTCACCAACTGAAATTTACAACTTTTTAAGAACTTTTTTAAGACCACCATTACCAAATATATGGATAAAAATATTTATATGTGCATTTGTGTGTGTTTGAAATTCACTAAACCTCCAACTTCATAGTTTAGTTGCAACAAATGCAGCACCGCTGACCATTTTCTGGGGAGCTTTAGCCACACCAAGGGAGTAAAACTGAACATTTCTGAGGTCTTTTTTTTTGGCTCTTAGTAGCAGCTCTGTGCTATTCACACTGCATATGGCTCTTTACAGTCTTAACCCTCGTAGTGCCGAGCTTTTTTGCACAGAAAGAACGTAGCATCGTATGGGTTAGCAACAGATGTGAGCCAGAGGTGAAGACATCATCCAGCCAACTGGCAATAAATTTACACTTACCCATGATGGACGTAGACAAGCTAGATAGGGTGTTTTAGTAGCTTTTTACTGGTAGCCCCAACCGCCTCAAGTTACAGAGTGCAATAAAGACGTCTGTGTGTAACTCAAACTTTTGCCTGATAGAAAAATCCCAGTGAGAAACAAAAACTATAAGATTAAATAATTGCACCAAAAGTTAAGACCCGCATGGTTTTCCCCAGAAAACTCACTAAGCCCAGTGATTGGGTGCTAGGGCAGACATTCATCCAGCGGCTTGTTGTGTTTTTGAGTTAAAATTTGTTTAAAGTTGACAGAAAATTTGAAAATATCACTTGATAATTATGTTTTATTGAAAAGGAGACTAATACCTGAACACCAACTGTAAAGCCTTAAAAAAAGCAAAGATTTTAAAAAGACTTAAAAAAAATAAGCAATGCTTATCCTGGTGGGGCCTAAGTAAAGCCTGGTGGCCCGCCAGGCTTAAAGTACACTTGGGGAAACCCTGAACATGTGATTCCTATATTTAAGACTATCTTACATTTTTTAAAATGATTTTAAGACATTTTGAGACCTTAATTTCAGGTATATGAATTAAGACATTTTAAGGAAAACCATGTTTTAACACTGGCTGATTGACCCTATCCCACACCTCACTGATGCAGGAATTCATCCTAAATGAGTCTCAGGCAGACATTAAAATAACTTTTCATAATTTTCATATAACTCAAATTTTATGAGAAACCAAATTTGGACTTTTCATTAGCTCTTAGCCATAATAATTTTTTTAAAATATATCACTCTGTTTCATTTTTTATTTAAAATATTGAAGTAAAACTTTTCGATGATTTTCTAATTTATTGAGTTGTACATTAAGCGCAGTGATTAGACACGTCTGTTAAGACTCTATCAGAGCACAAAGAAGTGGAAGCAGAACATGGCTGACAGTAGTCGAGGCAGAGGGAGTTTTCAGACAGAGTGGACTTTATCCACACGTGCACACACAGACACCATTAGAGATGCTTGGCTGGCTAAAGTGGCAAAAATACCTCCCTTTTCCCTCATCCCCTAATGGTGGCCGACTACACTAAAACCCATGTTCAGAGAATTACAATGTCATTTATAGGACACCCAGGCAGCCCTCATGCCTGCCTCCCTTCCTCTCTCCTCTTTTATCTAGTTACAAGCCACTGCCTTAACTGCTCTCTAATTCAATGCTGTGCGCACAGTGAGGCAGAGTGAAGGATCTGAAGTGGCCATGCCTTATAGGCAGATTCTTCCTATAGACATCCAGCTTGTTGGGTGGGGGACTCCAGTCAGGCTCTGGTCTGTATTATAACTGATTCTGAATGAACAAAAGTGGCAAAAATCTTTTAGATTTAATGACATTTTTGCATACAGGTAAATTGTAAAGTGTCACTGGAAAAATAGCAAAAATTATGAGTTGTATTCATATTAATAGCTCTATTTGTTAATTAGAAGATAGTTCTGAAGCCCCAGCTACAATATTAGTGATATCTTTTGAAATCTTTTTTCCCCATTTTTGAAATAAACCTGCACCTACATGAACTGCGTGATTCTAAACCAAAAAGCCGTGATACGTATGCCACGCCTGAGGGTGGCAATAATAGTGCCATCAACATTCAAACAAAGAAGATGCTCCAGGAGTATGGCGAAACTTATCTTGTTTCTAGTGTTGGTCTGGTAATTTTTAACTTTAGCTTACAAGTTAGCTTCAAATGTAAGCTAAATTACTTAACTTACATTTGAAGCGGTGCAGACGAAATAAACATCTGAAGAAAATTAAAATAGCATCAGTATTGTTATGGTTTTCAGATATTGTTGACTAATTCTCTTTCCACTATTTGTTTGGAGTTTTTGTTGCTTTGTTTAAGACTTACCCACTGTTTCCAAAGGCAAAACTTACCCACAAAGCTCATGGCGGGTGGGCAAACATATATTTTAAAGTAAGATTGTAGTCATCTTCAAAGAAACATTTTAAAATGTGGCAATGTGTTGCTTCAAAATGCTAGGATGAGTTAGCAGAGAGATAAACTGACTTCAGCTGTTTTTTCATGGTATTGTGATATTGAGCATGCACAGTGTGGGTCTCTTTACCATTGTTTCTAATCATGTCTAAATATCTTCTCTACAGATCTCTACAGATATTAAGTAATTCCAATTTGCGGTTTTAAAAATATTTTCTCTAATATAAACTTCTAAGATTAACTGCAAACGCAACATAAAATCCAGATTTTGTAGAATATCTGTTAGTGTGAATACAGCCTGGTGCAAAGTATAAAAACTAATAAAATGAATAACTTATTGATTTTTATTTTATTTACTTGATTTTATTGTTTCCAAACTCCCCAAGTAAAAAAAGGGAGTAAAATGTCTTAATCAGCAGGCTGCAGAGGTGCTGGCGCAATTTAATATCCAGAAAGAACATCTTTTATGATGGTTTTACTTTTATTAAATTGAATCCTGAAGGTTGTTGTTAACAAAAACAGACTCCTGCATTTTTCTGACAAATGACTTCGAAATGCATACAGAGGTATGAAAGCTTTAGAATATAAACAAGAGCTAACACTGTTGCTTAGTCTTGCAGTGATTATTTTTCTTGTACATTTAAATGGAAGCTCATAAAAATGACTTTATCATCTTCAACATTATGGTGTCCGAGTTATGTCATTGTACTCATACAGTATTAAGGGTAGGAAACACTATTGCATTGAAATTTAAATTTATCTTATGGTAGCAACTCAAATTATTTAATTCAACCTATAATGCTTAGTAACGTGGAACAATGCTCAGAGTTTTAGCTTTAGATAAATTTCCACCAAAGTTAAGTCAGCATTTGAAGGATGTGGGGGGAGGAGGAGTGTAAGTTATAGTGCTTCACTCCCCCTCCAAGGAGATGGAAGGAATAATGAATGTCAGGTATGAAGGAGGGAAGAAGGATGAAAAGGAACAGAAATAGAGCGGCTTTCATAACAGCGTGGATCTCCACTGGGGACAGGAATCTGCTCATTAAAACCTTTCTTAGTGTAGAGGAGAAGAGGTAACTGGTGTTTTCTGGAGCTGTTAGAGACCCTGAAGACTCTCTGCTGACCCAACCACCCACCCAGCCTGCCTCTGAACATTCAGTCCATACTCATCTGAGGACTACGCTTGAGTTTGAGACACTGAGTTCAGGCACTTCTTTTTTATAAGGCACGTCTCCTCATTAGTTACCATGTATTTTATCAAAGCTAGTACAAAGCTAGAAAATTAAAAAGCTAGTATACACACACACATGCACACACATATGTGTATGTGTATATATATATATATATATACACATACACATATATATACATATATGTGCCATATTCCTGACCCATACGGAAGTGGAGAAATTTAGTGGCACCCCGGTAAATATCAATTCCTTTTGTAATTGAAATTGAAAATTAAATTGGTAGAAGATCCAACCTTCAATTAATCATTGGAAGATTTCTTAAGATTGGAGCATATACATGGAGACTTGAATGTTCCTCTTTGAACAATCCTTTGAACTGTTCAGAGTCCAGGGTCCTCACTTCTCTTCATCTCACCTCATCGACTTTCGAAAAGAGTCAGGTCAGTGAACTGAGATAACTCTAAGGAAAAGGAAACTGTCTTTTAATCATGTCTCTTGAGTTATCCAACGGCTTTGGTCTATAAACTTGTTGAAAGATAGAAGATGTATTTTCAGTTTTCTGACAAAGTCCAGTGTTTATAGTTCTTAACAGTAGGGTCCCTAACAAGGTTCCAGGTGTCTTTGTAAGACAGATAGATGTTCCATCATACTAAACAGTAGAATGAATCCATCTCCTCATTACTAAACCCACTTTGTTTACTGAGGACCTCAATCCTGGTCTCATCTGAACAAAGAGCACAGTTTCAGATAATATAAAGTTTACATATTTACATTTGTGACATAACAAAACATGTTTTTACTGTTCTGTCATCACTCCTAGGTAAAATGT